TGTTCTCTTCATAATATTGATCTGGTTTATTAACCTGTTCTCTCATATAATTATCTGTCTCCATCCAGTGGATGTAAGAGTCTTAAAGAACAGCTCCTGGAACACAGCAGGCATATGGTAAATGAGAAGCTACTACATGAATCACCGCCATTAATCAGGATGAAGCAGTAAGGGTTCTCTTTGGCAAAATATATCACAATTCTTCTTAAATGTTCCTAACCAAAGATTTAGCAATTCCTCTTGAGGAATTTACACTTCAATATTGATAAGGTTTGTAAAACTCTATAGGCAGCCTTGCTTTATAACGTTGAAAAATTGGAAAGAGTCTAATTTTGGGAATCTGCTACATACGTTATTGTTTTCTATACTTCAGTATTATACAACCATTAATAAAGGTGTTTTAGAAACATACTTTTCACATAGAAGATATCAGCTATCTAACAGATTCTAAAATAGTATTACATGGAAGATCCCATTTTTATATTGTACACATGTACATATTTATACTCAAAAAATCTACAAGAGCAGATACTAAAATACTTAGAGCAGCTATGTCTGAACTTTGAGATTGCAGCTTGTTATTGTATCCCAGTGCCGCTGGAACTGACTCATTCTGGAAGGTAGGCCATTGCAGTTTAGGGCGTTTCTTGAGCTGTACACAGAAGCCTTTCAGGGACTAAGCAGATGAGTCTGATACCCCTCTTCTTCGGCTTTAATGCTGTTAGAGAAGGTTAATCAATGTGTTTGTAGCTTCTACAGAGAGAAGACGAGCACTCCTGTTTGGGCGAATTGAGATGTCCTTTTAGGGAGTGTGAGGGTATGTGCTTTGGCTCTTGATGTGTTTGGAAGATTTAACCAGAGATGATTGAAGAGACATTTCAGGTGGAAAAAAGAGCCAGTATGAAAGAAGGAAATAGAGAATGAAATCATGAGTCATGTTAAAGGGATAGCAAGTGCATCCATTCTGTAAAAACCATGGGATATCTGGAATGGGAAATAATTCTTGAAAAGTAGATGGAAGGACACTGCAGTGACCTTGATTTAGTGGGCACTTGGAAGATATGATCTGAGGAGGGGAATGATGAGCCACGTGGGCTGTTTTTTTTAGGGAGACGAACCTGACAATTACAGGAATGAGTTGGTAGGGTAAAGCCAGAAGCAAAGTGGTAACACTAGTTTGAGCCTAGGCTGTTTGCCCAATATGTCAAGTAGGCTGCATGCAAATTAGGTTATGAGAGAAGAATTTCTTCTTTGAGGTATGTTATCCTTGCCTTTTTCCTTCCTTCTATTCCCCAACTTCATTGTGGCATTGCTGGCTGCTACTCACTGAGGAGAGTGTAAGGTCTAAGGCCAGTGGTTGGGAGCAATGAATGAATGTTCGTAGCCTGGGATATACCAAAACGGAAACATCAAATTATATGTGTTTTTTAAAGTCAAAGATATTTTGTACAAGAGTTTCTTATACATTTGGATAACATGTTTTTGTTCCCTATCATAGCATAGGTATTTTAGCCCCATATTCTGAAGGCAAATAACTGGAAGATTACATTGATTTGGTTTAAGGAAATTAACAAATGTCCCTATTGAAACTAGGTCAAGTTCCTTATTTTAATTTCTAATCTAACATCAGACTCCAGCTGTCAAGCTTTCCCATTAATCCTCTGTAGTGAAATCCTCTCTGAAATACATTGTAATTAATTTGTAGGAATTGACAGCAAAAGGTAGAGAGTTCAGATAATATTTGACTATAAGTTTCCTTTGTGAAAGGGGACAATTAAATCTTCTAGAAGTTGTAAAAAAATGCTTGAGAAATAGTATTTTGGCAGAAATTCTTTCCACTGAAAGAAGCAATTGACTCTTGGTAGCAACTGACTCTTGCTAGAAAGAATCTAGCATTTGACCCAAACTGGGTTTCAGACCCAGTAATCCAGACTGGGCAACCTGATTTTGCTGAAATATTCCATAAGAACTTTTGCTTCAGTCATAAACATTTAAAAGTGACTTCATTGTAATTATCATTAAACCAGTATGAGTCTCACAAGTGCCACAGGAAAGCCAGTCGTAGCTGGTGATATGCCTATAGTAAGTATAGGAAGAAGAGTGGGAAGGCTTGATTACAGGCAGAGTAGAAAAGTATTAATATAGAAAATAAAAGTATCTCTTGTTATAGTTTTATCTGCTTTTGTGAAGTTTAGATGTTTCTGCAATTGAGGACTGCGTGCAAGATTCAGGGTAATGTAAATTCAGATTTTAAGAAACAGTCACACGCAGGGTATGTCTGTAACTGAATCGAGTGAGTATCTCCTAAATAAACAGCATGGGTGGCTTGTGTCACTGTCCAGGGTACTATAAAACTGGGGCTAAAAAATACACCCTAGCAACTTCCTTTTCCAGCATTTTGAAGAATGTATCCTCTAGAGACTCTCTAAAGGAGAAAGAAAAGAGAATAAGATAACTGTTGAGATGGAAAGTAAAACCCAAGTGCCAGATTACATCGTAAATGTTAAAAACAAATAGTACACCCCCCCCCCGCAAGCTCCACCTATTTTTACCAATTTCTGATTTCTGTTATTTTAAAAATGTGTTTTTTAGGGATGGTGGTTTCACTATGTTGCCTAGGCTCCACCTATTACTTTTTGAACACAAAAGCAATGGAAAATCAAGAACTGTGATTAAGAAGGGAGTCCAGAGCAAGTGATGTGCTGCAGTACCCCTGGGTTGCATTGGGATTTGAAACAATTCAGATGTGTTTAAGTAAGACTCACCATGAGCAAAACCAGCTTGCAGCAAATAATAGTGGGTGACCTGGGTCCCTTAATAATGTATACTATATGTGTGCTTTTAGCTTTCAGCAAAAAAAGCACAAACTTCTTTATAAAATGAATTTCTGCTTTTACTTTTCTGTAACCATAAATAAAACATAAGTGAAATCTGTTTCTCAGCATTTCCCTCTTAAAATAGCAACAGCCAAGCTCCTCAGCATTTATGTTAGATAAACACAATTCTGCCAAATACCAAGAGTTTAAACTGTACCATTTTGATAATTATGATAATGAAATTTAGTGTATGTGATTCTAGTGTAAAATTATGAAAGTCTGCAGGAAAAAATATTTTTAATTCTTGTAAATAATGAGAATGCACTGTAAGTGCAATTTTTTTTTCAGATGAAGTACTTAGCCTATCCGGATTCTTTCAGTTATCTGGTAGAACAACTAGATCTTCATCTTTCTTTTCTTTTCTTTTTTTTTTTTTTTTTGAGACAGAGTCTCACTCTTATTGCCCAGGCTGGAGTGCAGTGGCGTGACCTCGGCTCATTGCAACCTCCTCCTTTCGGGTACAAGCGATTCTCCTCCCTTAGCCTCCCAAATAGCTGAGATTACAGGCACCTGCCACCATGCCCAGCTAATTTTTTGTATTTTTAATAGAGATGGGGTTTCACCATGTTGGCCAGGCTGGTCTTGAATTCCTGACGTCAAGTGATCCAACCACCTCAGCCTCCCAAAATGCTTGGATTACAGGCATGAGCCACCACGCCTGGCCTCATCTTTTCATTTATATATTCTCTGTCATACACACACGAAAACACACACACACCCTCTACTATTCCCACCTCTGATGTGGTCTAAGGAATACAAAAGAATGCAGGAGGACACAATTCTCTGTGAATAAAGCTTTCTTAAAAGCAAGCAGAGGAGGGTGGGGAAAATGAGATGTTGGCCAAAGGGTACAAAATCTCAGGTAGGACGTCTAAATTCTGGAGGCCTACTGTGCAGCATGGTGACTATCATTAACAATATTATGTTTTATTCTTTGAATTTGCTAAGAGAGTAGATCTTGTGATCTTACCACAAACACAAAATGATAACTATGAGAAGTGATGGAAGCATTAATTAACTTGATTATGGTAATCGTTTCATAGTGTTTAGGTAGAGCACTTCCTTAGGTTGTACGCCTTAAACATATACAATTTTTATTTGCCAATTATACCTCAGGAAAGCTGGGGTGGAGACAATAAGCAGGAATGCTACTAGATACCTCAACCTCGTGGAATTCTTGCTGCAACTTCAAAGTTCCTGTTTTACGAAAAACAGTTTTTCTATTAGCAGCCACAAGTTAAGAGGGAGAAACAGGAAAGAGGAAAGAACAAAGCAGAGCAAGGTGTCAGATTGCAGATTTGATGAGAGAATCAGAAAGGATGTGAGCAGCCTCCACGTGTTACCAGGGCAAGACAAGGCTTTCTTCAGTTTCGAGGGTAGCAGCATACACTTAAGATTGAGGAAAGAGCTGGTGAATCATGAGCTTGACCAGAGAGCAGGGTTAGAACGACTCTAAAGAAAGCAGGTAGGCAGTGAACAGGAAATGAATCAGTGCACAGAAGAGGAGGACATGGCTCCTCAGAATTTTCCCCAAACTCCTCTGTAGTCAAGTTTATAATTCACCAACTCCCATTAAAAAAATGTTTATTGTATTTTATATTTGTTAGGGATTATTGTGTGATCTTGACTTGAACAAATTTTTATTTCCCCTTGATTTCCATTTCTTTACATTAAATTGTAAGTTAGCAATTTGGGCTTCATCCGTCTGCTAGTATCCAGCACTGATGTAGCTTTGCTATACAATATATTGAAAATGAAACCAAGCCAAGTTCACACTGTAATCCCAGCACTTTGGGAGGCTGACACGGGAGGATCACTTGAGCCAGGAGTTTGAGACCAGCCTGGGCAACATGGCGAAACCTGTTCTCTATAAAACAAACAAACAAACAAACAAAAACTGGGCATGATGGCGTGCACCTGTGGTCCCAGCTACTCAGGAGGCTGAGGTGGGAGGATCACTTGATCCCAGGAGGCAGAGGTTGCAGTGAGCTGAGATCACACCACTGCACTCCAGCCTGGGTGGCAGAATGAGACCTTCAAAGAAAGAAAGAGAGAAAGAAAAGAGAAAGAGAAAGAAAGAAAGCAGGAAGGAAGGAAGGAAAGGCAGGGAGGGAGGGAAAGAAAGAAAAGAAGGAGAATAAAACCAAAAGTAGAGTGATAAGCTGATGCCTTAGTCTTGAGAAAAGATGCGTGGATTTAGGATCATGCCTCTTTCTACAACAGTGGCCGTGCAGTGTACAGTTTAAGATAATGCATAATTGATAGTACCCACTGCTCCATGCACGGGGACAGAGAAATTGGCTTGAGCCCCTTGTCATATACAAAACCCTTAATTCTCTTTTCTCTCTTGTTGGCATTCAGCTGTTTTTCTGGATGAATTCATCACCATCAGTCAAAAAAAAAAAAAAACTCTTTTTTCCTAAGGGAAGAGTAGTACATTGTCTCCACACAATGTCCTCTGTCTTTTCCTGCCTTTCTTCTCTACTTGTGGTACCAGTCATTTCCCATCAGCAGGCAGTACTGGCCTGAATGCCTATGTTGCTCGGAAGTGAGAAGTCACCTCCTTACTTAGAGGGAAGGTAGATGCTGCAGTGGAACATGGTGCAGCCGTTCCTAGCTCAGGAGTCTTCAGCTTTATGATGGTGTGAAAGTGATATGCTTTCAGTAGAAAACACACTTTGAGTACCCATACAACAATTCTGTTTTTCACTTTGGGTACAGTATTCAATAAATTACGGAGATATTCAACACTGTATTATAAAATAAGCTGTGTGTTAAATGGTTTTGCCAATTATAGCTTAATATCAATGTTCTTAGCACATTTAAGGTAGGCTAGGCTAAGCTATAATATTCAGTATGTTAAGTGTATTAAGTGGTTTTTCAACTTAGGATATTAATGGGCTTATCAGGACATAACCCCATTGTAAGTTGAGCAGCATCTGTATAGGAATTAAGAGTCTGTCACTTATCATCTTCAACAGTTCTTCTGCATCTCAGTTTCTTCATCCATAAAACTGCTGTCATAATAGGGTTGTTGTGAGATTAGACCAGTTCATATGTGTAAAAGCCCTTAGAATAATATCTGACACATAATAGATGATCAATAAGTTTCAGCTGCCACCCACAACACGGAATTATCCAGTCTAAAATGTCAGTTTCAGTACCTTAAGAGAGGAAAAAAAGAAAAAAAAGGTATTACCAAGATGAAGAAGCCCTGCCCACAATGTGTTGCCCATGTTTATATAGGCTACTTTTGAAAATGGAGTAGGTGGGGAGTGGTGATCATACCTTCTGATGCTGGGTCCCTGGGGCAGTAGGAGTGATGCTGGGTTGGAACTGGCACTCCACTGGCTCCTCCTAAGGAGTCTGTAGTTCCAAGGGTATTCAGAAGGTTAGTTGCCAAGTCCAGTGCACACGCTTGACTCTCACACATCTTAGAAACCATGAGTGGCCAATCTCTATTGGGTCAGGTCCAACTTCTTGAAGGGGCTAGTTCAGAGGGGCTTGGAAGGTTTTATTTTCATCTAAAAATTTTTCACAGTGGGCCCACTGCTCACCCAAACTCATTAAGTTAATTGGTTTTAATCAAAGTTTTCTGGTCCCCAAGTTACATGTTTTTCAATGTTGTGAGGGCCAGGCAAGGGTTTAACCTGATCCTTTCTCCTCGGTTCCCACTCTATGACCCTAAACAAAAACCCCTTTTAAAGGTAATTCCAAGTCAAAAGTGTGGTAGACATGTTGAGTTCAGTTTACAATGCAATATATCACCGACTATAAAAAGATAAACTCTGTGGACCTATGTTTAATGAATATAGAAATAACTTCTAAAACTTCAGCATTTAAATTCACTATTTCTTCCTCTCCCCTGTGAAAGCCTTCGGAATTATTCAAAACTTGCTAAAACAAGTCAACTTTTTGGACCTTCAGAACAGGGCAACTAAATGTCATTCCATACACTTTCTCAGTGACTCTATGTCTGTTCTCAGCAGTGAAGGGAGAACAGAGGTCACTCTGCCTGACTGATTTTAAACGATCGCCTTTTTCAGATGCTTTTGGTATGGGAACACAATCAGCCATAACCTTTGGGGTTTTAAATGTCATTGTTAATGCATCAGAAAACCCAGACAGAGAGTCTGGAGAAATTGTATGTAACATTTAAATGATTCTGGTAAATAATTAAGTTTTTAGTGTATGTTTAATGTACATTCTGTTTGGGGCCTCTGAGTTTGAATCCCTGAGATCGAGCTGATATTTAGCAACCATTTCTTAACCAGGAAAAGCCTCCCCTACTCCCAACCCCTAGCCATTTGAGCTTCACTGGCTTTTTTGAACAGAAGCCTTTCTCAGTTTGTGCTTGGTTCAGTGAACACGGTTACTTTTTAAAAACAGTGACTGTCGAGTTTTATGTCTCACCACCCTTTGCTGTTCTTCTGAGCTACCTCACGCTGTGTGAGAGATAATACTTGGCATGATTAAACTGCCCCTTCACTGATATTTGGTCTTTGCCTGGCTGAGGACGCAAAGCAAGAAGAGGAAGACATGCAGATATGTTGCAGGATATTCAAGAAAGAAGGATTTTAGCATGGAAGACACTAAACTGGACTGTAAGTTCTTGGGCTCAAAATGTGTTTTGAAAACCTTAATAAGAACATTTAAGAATCAGGCAATCTTTAAATCCATTTTGACAAATTTATACTTGTAACAAGTAGAAATACAAAGTAGAAAATCTTCTAATAGATTTTTTTAAATCTTTGTTTTAATGTTCTTAGGAAAAGGAGTGGAAATTTAAATAAAATGATCTTTGTTATATAAACTATGTATTTATACTTCTGTCTTCATGTTCTAGAGCCATATGTTAGTTTCCATGAAAATTAAAGGCAAACCATCATCATTCTCTATTTTATTTCTCTCTTTTTTTTTTTTTACAAAAACACAGTGAGAAGCTGAACAGTAGCAAACTATACAAACATGCAATTATGCTGCTGTCCAAAAAAATTTCAGTATATAATTTATTCATAATGTTTTAGCCCTCTTACTATTTATCGGATCTAAATCAGATCAGGATTTTTGAAAAATGATTGCTTTTCTATTTAGAGAGGTGTATTTGGGGAGTGCTGTTGTTTGCTTACTAAGAAGAAAGATCACATTTATCTTGCCTACTTATTGGTTTTTTATTTTGTTTTGTTTTTGATCGGAAACATTACTCGTGCCACCCAGTTATGTCTTTCTTTCCCAGAATGCTTTCATTTTCATGATGTGTAAACAGTGAGTCACATGTGGGCTTTACAGAGAAAACTACAGGCATTGGAACCTTATAGACTACTTTTCGGAGATTAATTTTTAATACCTTATTTCTTTTTCTATAAATTTCTTTATGTGGGTGTTCTATTAAGTTTAATTTTTAGAATAATAAAGTTGTTTTATTCACTAAATTATTTGCCTTTTAAAAATATAAATCTTTGTTTTCACAGATAATATTTGCAAGTTTGTATTTTAAAAACACATCTCCTACATCGGATATAGGAGAGATACATGAGTTATATATAGTTGCCAGTATCCAGCAATTGTTAGAAGATGGGTTAGTGTGAATAAGTGGTTTGCTTTTGGTATTTTATGATTATAAAATATAGAGTCAGGGCAGAAATATCTAGGGGGTTGGATCTGAATTTTCCTTTTAGCTCTGACATTTATTGGTTGTGTGATTTCAGACAGGTTATTTATATTCTATAAGTGTGTCAATATCATTAAACAATGGAACAATCTCAAATGTTTAGAAGTGTATATACGTTAAAGGAGAGTAAAAATGCCTTGCCTAATATTTGTTCAACCAGCTGAGTTTCCTTTTTTTTTTTTTAACCTTTAATGATTCTATTTTACGGAGATGTATCTTTCTTTGCAGAAAGCATGTTTACATATGTTTTTAAGTATTAGATTTGGATATGATAAAATAGGTTTGCTTCTATAAGATGAAATAGAGACTACTCAGTAAAGAAATTGGATAAATGTCCAATAGAGAAATTTAAAATTGAGGGGAGAATGTTTTTAAAATCCAGATAACTGGTTAGAAACTCTTAGATAAGTGACTTTAAAATACTCAATTTCTGTTTACTTGATTTTGATTCTAGTTTTCCAATTTCCTGCAAAAGTAGAAAACATAGTAGCTTCATGTTTCCATAAATTCAAGTTTCAATGTAAAAACCATACTTTCTTTGGAGTGGAGGTGCAGGGGGAGCTGTCCTCTGTACACTTAGCACCTGTGTGTGTACTTGACCAATGGCAGGTCTGCCACCCATTAATGAAAGTCCACACAGTTGTGGGAGCAGAACCTGTTTTCACCCTCAAGCTACTGTGGAATAATGAACAGTAAGTTACACATGACCCCCCCCAACCCCCAAGACAAAACGTGCTCTCTGTCATTGTTTGGCCTGACCTCAGCACTTTTCACTACCTGATGCTTTAACGTTTATTGTCTTTCCTCACACTAGAATATGTGCTCATTGAGGGCAGCGAATGTTTTCTGTTTTGTTCATTGCTGTATCCCAAGCACCTAGAACAGTGCCTGGCAACCAGTAGGCACTTAATTATCAAATTAATGAATCCATCCCTAGTTTTCAATAGGACACAAAGTAGGAGAGACCACATATACTGTCTTTATAAAAAGACAAAACAAAATGACAAAAAAGGATACAGTTTTATATAAAATCAGGAGTCTCACTGTCATAGAACATGCTAATTGTTTTTGTACAATTGTCCTTCCACCTGCAGTTCCAAAATCCTCAGTGCATGCCTGAAATGGTGAATAGCACTGAACCCTGTATGTACTATGTCTTTTCCTATGCATATACACCTATGACAAAGTTTAATTTATAAATTTGGCACAGTAAGAGATTAACAACAATAGCTAATGATAAAATAGAACAGTTATAACATAGTATAATAGGAGTTATGTGAATGTGGTCTCTCTTTCTCTTAAAAATATCTTATTGTACTGTAGTCACTAATTTTCAGACTGTGGCTGACCACAGGTAACGGAAACCTCAAAAAGTGAAACCATGGATAAGTATATCTACTGTAGTTGACAGACCACTGCTGATTTGTTCCAACTTTTGGAAACGAAAGTCAACATGCAATGTAAATATCTTCTGTTATCATAGATGATTCAAACAATGTTTTGAGCAAAAAGGAAAAAATCAGGAGGTTTTCTTCCTGCTAGTTAAATTGAGCACTCCAGAAAGATAATTTCATGGTGAAATGCCGGGTCACAGGCTGAATAACATCTCTCCTTGTCTGAAGCCCGGGTGAGGCCAGAGTTCTGCTCAGCCACCTTGGGAGAGGCAGCCCGTTCCACATACACTATGAAGGTCATGCTGTGTGGCCACCTCAAGCTCCTTTACCAGGAATTTTATGGTTGGCATATTTTTTAGAAGCTGCAAATCTTGTTAAGCAAAGCACTCGAGCACTAGCTGTTCTCAAACTTACTTTGCCTCTGTACCTTACCAAGAAGATGGAATATTGTACTTGAAAGTCAAAAAACAAAATTTCAAAACTCAGGTCCAACACTTAATGTTTGCCTGACCACAGCCAAATCCCATTTAACCTCCCTGAGCCTCAGTCTCCTCCTCTTTAAAATGGCCTTAATTTGAGATGATCAAGTGAGTTATGCACAAGAAAAGGATCTATATCCCATAAAGCAAATTATACAGCGTTACTCACATATAAACTAAAAAACAATGCCAGTTCTTTCCTTAATAAGATTGTAAGTTTTGACTTTCTAGTCCATATTTGCCAAAATATCACTAGTTAAGGGGGAAAACACCCCAGTAAAACAGTGAAAAGACTAAAGTAAATTTTGAAAAAAAAAAATTATTTGGAAAACACTGTACCATAGTAGTTAGGATAATAGATTTTAAAGTCAAATTGATGTGGGTTTTATTCATAATTTAGCCATTTATGTTGACAAATTGCTTCTTTGAGCCTCAGTTTTCATTTCTGTACAGTATGAAGACTGTTTCCTAACATGCAGTCTTTATGCAGTCTTACTTTCAGCAATAAATTTATGAGACAAGGTATTTAAAGCACTTAATACATTCTGAAACATAGTAGATATTCAACAAATGAAAATTGTATTTCTGGTTAGCATTTTAATTCTTCATAAATATCATTGTGTATATGGTATGCCTTTGAAATTATATGGGACCAAACTCTTAAGATGTATTAATTGACCACAATTATGCTGCATAAAAATCTGGTGGAAATTTCCTCAAAGAAAATGATCTTTGATTTCCAGTAACTTTTACTTTTTTGAGCCTTATAATATTTAGAATAAGTCATCTTTGAAACATGCATCAATAAAATTAAAGGATTTTTGTTTTGGTTTTGGTTTCTTTGAGATAGTATCTTACTCTGTCACCCAGATTGCAGTGCAATGACACGATCTTGACTCACTGCAACCTCTGCCTCCTGGGCTCAAGCGATCCTCCTAACTCAGCTTCCCTAGTAGCTGGAACTACAGGCATGCACCACCACGCCCAGCTAATTTTTGTATTTTTAGTAGAGACAGGGTTTCACCATGTTGCCCAGGCTGGTCTCAAACGCCTGAGCTCAGGTAATCCACCTGCCTCAGCCTCCTAAAATGCCGGGATTACAGGTTTGAGCCATCACGCCGGCCTGTAAAATTAAAGTTTTAAATATTATCATCCACTCATCAAAACCTCCTGAGGCCTCGAAGTATCTTCAGTTAAATGGAGTTTAAATTCCCCTCCACATAGGTATTCACAGGCAAAAGTACACTGGCAGGGAGGGGCATATTAAGGATAGAAGTTAGAGATTCTTTTTCTAGGAAATGTGTTGCTTGTGAATCTGCTATGCTGTCCAGGCAGAGTTGTTCACGTTTAAACATAAGAGTCTGCTGTGTATGTTCTAGAAATGAGATAAAATGAAAGAACTGGGAGAAAAATCAGGAAGGATATTGTGATGGTAATACATACTGTCACACAACCTAAAAATGCTCAAGTTCTGAGATTTACCATTTATAGTCTAAGATATAAGTAATACGTTGAAAGCCCCAATCGTTTCTCATAGCATCTCACTGAGTCATTCTCTAGTGACTAGTCTCTGAACTGAGATTTTTGTACTGAATCGAAAGCACTGGTATACCATCTTTTTTTTTTCTTTTTTAAGAGAAAGATCTTACTATGCTGCACAGGGCTGGACTGGAACCCCTAGGCTCAAGTAAGCAGTCCTCCCACCTCAGCCTCCTGAGTAGCTGGGACTACAAGTACGTGACACTATGCCTGGCTTGATATACCATCCTAACAATATAATTTATTTGTTTTTAATCAGAGCCTGCAGGTGACATAAATAAATATATTTTAAGTGAACTACAAGTCAATCGGTCTTTTAAAACCTAACATTTTTAAATGTGTGAGAATACGGGCTTGAATCATTAGCATATGACTACATATCATAAATAGGAATTTTCCTACTTTTTAATACATAAGACAATTTGTTCACCAAAATCTAAAACTCCTAATAGTGTTTAGAGAGGAAACCCTAAAGCCTATGAGTAAGTTTCACTATATTTTAGTTACATGTGTTGATCTGT